GTCTGCGTGGGGTGTGTGCAGCTGTTCCTTTTAGCCTGACCTTAATAAACATGTAAATAAGCAAAAACTCTTCTAATAATTAAAAGAAAAAAAAAAGCTGTCAATTTCCAGCTGCAATCAATTTTCTTCCTCTCCTGCCTGCACCAACCCTATGTGTGAAATTCCAATCTGCCCCAAAACACACGGTTTTGACCCCAAAAACGTTCCTTTTTGTCCCCAACGTTGGTTCTTCCACCCATGTCATGTTAGTTTCCAGTGCTACCCCCGAAACTCTGATTTATCTGTTAAAAATGGGGTTAAAATAACAATAAATCTCCCCAGTTTCATCTGCCTTGTCCAGATGGGCAGAGCAGGGAGCTCTATAGGGAAAAACTGTAGGGAAAACCTTCCCCAGAGCACGTTTCTGTCCTATACCCCTCTTGGCACCTATAGGGGAATATGAACAGCCTGCAGGGTCCCACATTCTGATGAGAAAAATCTCATCAAATAACAATAAATTAATGCTTTGGGACTTTTTTTTGCCAGTTAATTATAATCTGGGTACAACTGAACTCCCCAGGGGAAGCATTTACGCAGTCCCACATGCAACTGGACCCTCCGTGTTCGCTCTTTCACTGCAAGCCTAAATACAGCGTTAGCCGGCATCGGAGACGACTGAAAAATCGGGCCCCAGAAAACGCATTCCGAGCCTCTTTCGCCAATACAAAAGTGCCCCAAAATGAAGGCTTTGGGTACAACTGAACTGCCCAGGGGAGCCTTTACGCAGCCCCACATGCAACTGGACCCTCCGTGTTCGCTCTTTCCGAGCAACCCGAAACAATGCCCTAGCCAGCATTGGAGATGTTTTAAAAAATCGGGCCCCAGAAAACGTGTTCCGAGCCCCTTTGGACCATCCAAAAGTGCCCCCAAAGGAAGGATGTGTGTGCTAGCCGCACTGGGGTCCGGGTCGGACCTCGGTCGGCTCCGCTATTTTGATGGCAGGACACGAGTGTCCCTCCACGGGCAGCGTGGGTCTGGCTTTCTGAACCCCTAGGCTCCATCCTGGGTGTCGTGTGTGCTCGCCGCACCGGGGTCCGGATCCCATTTCGGGCGCCTCGGGGAAGGAGATGCTACGAAACGGTTGTCCGGCCACAAGCGCTGTGGCTGCCAGCCGTGTCGAGAAGTGGAGGCTGTCGTTCACCGGCTCGGAGTTACGCAGTGCCGGGGACCGGGGATTCAGACAGTCCAGAGCGGCAGGCGTCCGGATGTGGACCCTGGGCTCCGGTCCTGGGCGATGTGTGTGCTAGCCGCGCCGGGGTCCGGGTTCTGTCTCGGGTGGCTCGAGGAAGGTGATCCCACGACACGGGTGACCGGCCACAAGTGGTGTGGGTGCCAGCCTTGCCGCGAAGCAGGAGGCTGTGGTCCGCTCACTCGGGAACTGTCCGTCCCCGAGACAGGGGTTCTGTCCAGTCCGGAGCGGCGGCCGTTCTTCCCGAATGCCTAGACTCTGGTCCTGGGAGACGTGTATGCTAGCCACGCCGGGGTAAGAATCCCTTCTCGGGCGGATTAGGGACAACGATCCCACGACACGGTTGTCCGGCCACGAGCGGCATGGGAGCCAGACTTGCAGCGAAGCGTGAGGCTGTCATCCGCTGCCTCGTGGGCTGGCAGTCGCGGGGACCTGGGGTTCTGTCCTGTCCGGAGCGGCAGCTGTCCATCCCGAACACCCACGCTCCTATCCTGAGCAACATGTGTGCTAGCCGCACTGGGGTCCGGGTCAGACTTCGGTCGGCTCCGCTATGGCGATGGCAGGACACGAGTGTCCCTCCGCGGGCAGCGTGTGTCCGGCTTTCCGAACCCCTAGGCTCAATCCTGGGTGACGTGTGTGCTAGCCTGCACCGCGGTCCGGATCCCATTTCTGGCGGACAGGGGACAACGATCCCATGACACGGTTGTCCGGCCATGAGCGGCATGGGAGCCAGACTTGCAGCGAAGTGTGAGGCTTGTCATCTGCTGCCTCGTGGGCTGGCAGTCGTGGGGACCTGGGGTTCTGGTCCTCTCCGGAGCCGCAGCTGTCTGTTCCCAACACCCACGCTCCAAGTCCTGGGCGATGTATATGCTGGCCGCACTAGGTCCAGGTTGGACCTCGGTCGGCTCCGCTATTTCATCACAGGACACGAGTGTCCCTCCACGGGCAGCGTGGATCCAGCTTACTGAGCCCTTTGGCTCCATCCTGGGTGTCGATGTGTGCTCGCCGCACCGGGGTCCGGATCCCATTTCGGGCGCCTCGGGGAAGGAGATGCTACGAAACGGTTTGTCCGGCCACAAGCGGTGTGACTGCCAGCCGTGTCAAGACGTGGAGGCTGTCATTCACTGGCTCGGAGTTACGCAGTCCCGGGGACCGGGGATTCAGACAGTCCAGAGTGGCAGGCGTCCGTATGTGGACCCTGGGCTCCGGTCCTGGGCGACGTGTGTGCTAGCTGCACTGGGGACCGGGTTCAGTCTGGGTCCTTTGGCTCCATCCCGGGTGTCGTGTGTGCTCGCCGCACTGGGGTCAGGATCCTATTTCGGGCGCCTCAGAGAAGGAGATCCCACAACATTCCCACGAGGGTTAGGGTTGTTAGGGTTAGGGTTTAGGGTTAGGGTAAGGGTTAGGGTTAGGGTTAGGGTTAGGGTTAGGTTAGGGTTAGGATTAGGGTTAGGATTAGGGTTAGGATTAGGGTTAGGGTTAGGGTTGGGGTTAGGGTTAGGGTTAGGGTTAGCGTTAGGGTTAGGGTTAGGGTTAGGGGTTAGGGTTAGGGTTAGGGTTAGGGTTAGGGTTAGGGTTAGGGTAAGGGTTAGGGTTAGGGTTAGGGTTAGGGTTAGGGTTTTGGTTTAGGGTTAGGGTTCGTTAGGGTTAGGGCTAGGGTTATCGTTAGGGGGTTAGGGGTAGTGTTAGGGGGGTAGGGTTAGGGTTAGGGGTTCGGGTTAGGGGTAGTGTTAGGGTTTGGGGTTAGGGTTTGGGTTAGGGGTTAGGGTTATGGTCAGGGCGTTAGGTTTAGGGTTAGGGTTAAGTTTAGCGTTAGGGTTAGGGATAGGGTTAGGCTTAGGGTTCATTAGGGTTAGGGTTAGGGCTAGGGTTATCGTTAGGGGGTTAGGGTTCGGGATCGAGGTTAGGGTTAGGTTTAGGGTTAGGGTTAGGCGGGTTAGGATTAGGGTTAGGGTTCGGGTTAGGGCTCGGTTTAGGGTTAGGGTTTTGGGTTAGTGTTAGGGTTTGTTAGGGTTAGGGCTAGGGTTATGGTTAGGGGGGTTAGGGTTAGGGTTAGGGGGTTAGGTTTATGGTTAGGGGTTAGGGTTAGGGGTAGGGTTAGGGTTAGGGTTAGGTTTTGGGTTAGTGTTAGTGTTAGGGTTAGAGGGTTAGGCTTAGGGTTAGGGTAGGGTTAGGGTTAGGGTCAGGGTCAGAGTCAGAGTCAGGGTAAGCGTAGTGAGATCCTCTCCTGCGCCTATGTTATTTTCCAAAGATTGATTCACGCTTTTAAGGTTTCAGGGGTAGGGCACTAGGGTTGGGTTTCAGGGTAAGTATTCTCAGGGTTTATGTTTAGGATTTTCAGTTGTTTAGGTTTGGATTTTTAAGGGTTAGTATTTTAGGGATTTGGGGGTTAAGGTTTTAAGTTTTTCAGGGTTAGTGTGTTAGGGTTTTAGAGTTTATGGGTTGTAGTGTTGAAAGGTTTTTTAGGGTTAGGGTCTTAGGGTTTTCTTTTTGGTCAATTATTTAGGGTTAGGGTTTTAAAATTTATTTATTTATTTATTTATTATTTATTATTTTTCAGGTTAGGTTCTCCAGGGTTAGGGTTTTGAGTGTCCTAATTTTTTGGGTTAGGGTTTGGAGCATCTTAATTTTTTGCGTTAGGGTTTTGAGCATCTTAATATTTTGTGTTAGTGCTTTGAGCGTCTTATTTTTTGGATTAGTGTTTGTGGAGGAATCGTTAAGTGAGGCAGGACATGTGAATGTTGAGCAGTTGGGAGACAATGGGCTGGTGAAGCACAGTACTCAACTCACATGAGCCTTGGCACGTATTCAGCTGGCTGAGAGCCAATCAGGCTCAAGGGCACGATGCCCTTGGGCCATCGGGGAAAGTCCCTAAGGTGGGACAGGTAGCCAAAAGAAGGAGGACCAGACTGAAAAGCCTGGGAAGTGTCAGCCAGTCCTGAGCTTAGTTTCTGCAATATGTATGAGTTGATTATGTTCGAACTAGATAAAAGACGACTGAGCTATCCATTAAAGTTGAAGTTCACTGTTCACTCATATTGATGTGCTGGGTCTTCCTTCCGTCGGCAACAAATTGGCGCCCGAACAGGGACCGGTCTGAACGGGATTTGGACACTGCTGGCAGTGATCCAGGGCCACGGTTGGACGGAATAAGGGAAGCCGGTCGTGCAACGCAGCCCAGGAGGTGAAAAGGACAAGAATCCCCGCACCCACGCCGGGAAGGTGAAAAGGACGTGGAGTCCCCGCACCCGGGATGAGCCTATTTAGGGTCCCGCCGGAAAAGCGCCGCCGAGGTGTTTGCAAAGGCTGCAACCGACGTATATAAAGGTATGAAAAGATAAGCGGCGTATTATTTGCTCAAATGCTTTTTAGAAAAGCGGAGCATTTTGATATAGATTGTAGAAAAAGATTTGCCAGGGTTATTAGTATATGGGATAGCTAAGGGTTGTTTTACAAATCCTGATACAGTTTTTTGAACAAACAGAGTGGCGTAAATTTGGACATAAATTGTTTGATGATGTTAGGAACGATGTTAAGTTTACTGGGAGATTTGATGAGGCCATGGAGAGCAGTGGCTAATGCATTAGCCACACATAAAGATGAACAAAGAGTTGCCGCTGCTGCAACAGAGTGGTTAGGACCACCAAGAAGGATTAATAATGTTAATCCACAGCAAATAAATATGGAAGGAACAGATTGCCCGTTGCCACCTTCCGTTAGAACTTTTACTATTACACAGGGGGCCTCGGGAATTTCGGGGGTGCCTGTGACAATGTCCTCTGTAGCAGAGGAGGAGCTTTCACTACCAACAGCTCCAACTGCTCCAATAGAAAGTGAGAAAGGAGCAAGTGAAAGGACCAGTGCTAACTCATTTCTATCAAATATAAATCCCTTCACAACGGGGGCGCAGGGAAGAGAAGGTCTGCAGCCATCGAAGGCCTTTGCTGTTACGCCCCCTGTTGACCTGAACGTGCCTTTTGACCCAGGCCCTATTGGCCTTGGAAAGGAGCGATGGAGGCAAATAGCAAATGAGGCACTGCGTGAAGGGAATTATGAAACGGGCAGCACAGTTAACACAAGCTTTTCCGGTAGTATACTCGCCAACAGATGCACAGGGGAATGTGACCGTTAATATGACAAATTTAGACTGGAAACTACTAACTCAATTACGATCTACAGTAAATGATTCTGGTTTAAAGGGGGAACCTACTCGGCAAATGTTAGATTATATTTGGGGAACTAATATATTGCTCCCCGGGGACATACGTGGTATAATGAAGCTGATCCTAACACAACATCAACAGCTTCTTTTTAATGCGCATTGGCAAAGTGTTTGTCAAGAGGCAGTAGCTGTGATAAGGGCACCTGGAGACCCTTTACATGGGGTCACACTGGAAGAGTTGATGGGGATAGGACTGTATTTTAGGACTGAAGCACAGGCATTGCTGGGAACGGCAGGGGTCTTCCACAGGCGGCAGCCTCCATCGGTGCAGGGCCACCTGCTCCACCGTGGTCTCCTCCACGGGCTGTAGCGTGAAACCCTGCTCCACCGTGGTACTCCATGGGCTGCAGGGGGACAGCCTGCTTCACCATGGGCCTCACCACAGGCCGCAGGGGACTTCTGCTCCGGCGCCTGGAGCACCTCTCCCCCTCCTTCCTCACTGACCTTGGCACCTGCAAGGCTGTTTCTTCTCACTCCCTTGACTCTCCCGGCTGCTGTGTGGCGCAGTGTTTTTTTCCCTGTCTTAAATATGCTCTCACAGAGGCGCAAAACAACATCGCTTATTGGCTCAGATCTGGAAAAACAACGGGGCCCTTCCCAAACATGGGGCGGCTTCTAGATCTTTCTCACAGAAACCACCCCTATGGCCCCCTGCTACCAAAACCTTGCCACGTAAACCCACTACACCACCCCAAACGCCCCCATTTGCCCCTGAACTCCCCCCATTTCGCCTCCATTTCCCCCCCATAAGAGCCCTATTTCCCCCTAGTTTCCACGCCAAATGCCCCCGTTTACCCCCTGAACTCCCCCCAATGACCCTTATTTTCCCCCAAAAGACCCCTTTTTCCCCCATTTGCCCTATAAACCCCCCCCCGTCCCCCCCCAGTCGTCCCTGGACGGTACCCCGTCTGCATCTTCGCCTACGGGCAGACGGGCAGCGGCAAAACCTACACCATGGAGGGGCCGGGGGGCGCCGACCCCGCAAGTTGGGGGGTGATCCCCTGCGCCGTGCCGCACCTCTTCGGGGGCGCCCGCCAGCTGGAGCACAAAGGGTGGCAGGTGGGGGCCGAGGCACCGAGTTTTGGGGGGGTTGGGGGCTTTTTTGGGAGGGGTTTAGGGCTATTTGGGGGCTTTTGGGGCTTTTTTGGGGGGGAGTTAGGGCTTTCAGGAGCTTCTTTGGGGGGGTTAAGGCTTTTTTGGGGCTTCTTTGGGCGGCGCTTAGGGCTTTTGGGGGCTTCTTTGGGTGTGTTAGCTCTTTGGGGGGGCCTTAGGGCTTCTGGGAGGCTTTTTTGAGGGGTTAGGCCTTTTTTGGGGGATTACGGCTTTTGAGATCTTTTTCTGGGGGGGATTAGGTCTTTTAGGGGCATTTTTGTATGGGTTTTGAGCCTTTTGGGGGTTTAAGGTGTTTGGGGGGTGTTTAGGGCTTCTTGGGGTACTTTTCGGGGGGGGTTAGGGCTTTTGGGGGGCTTTTAGGGGGGATTAGGGCTTTCTGGAGGCTAATTTAGATCTTTTGGGGGCTTTTTTTTTGGGGGGTTAGGGCTTTGGGGTCTTTTGGGGGGCTTTTTTGGGGGGAGGTTAGGGCTTTTGGGGGCTAATTTAGGGCTTTGGGGAGCTTTTTTTAGGGGTATTTGGTCTTTTAGGGGCTTTTTGAGGGGTTTTGAGCCTTTTGGGACTTTTGGGGGTTTAAGGTGTTTGGGGGGTTTAGGGCTTCTTGGGGTTCTTTTCTTTGGGGGGGTTATGGCTTTTGGGGGGGGCTTTTTGGGAGGGTTAGGGCTTTTTGGAGCTAATATAGGGCTTTTGGAGCCTTCTTTAGGGGGGTTTAGGGCTTTTGGGGGCTTCTTTGGGGGGGGTAGAGTTAGGGCTTTTGGAGGCTTTTTTTGTGGCTTTTTTTTGGAGGGTGTTTAGGGATTTGGGGGGCTTTTGGGGGGGTTTAGGGCTTTGGGGGGCTTTTTTTGGGGGAGCAGGGCTTTTTGGGGGGTTTAGGGTGGGGTTTTGGGGGGAATTTCTTTAGCTTGGGGACTGTGGTCTGCTCTTTTGGGGGCTCTTTGGGGTTCTTTATAGGGTTTGGAGGCTTTTGGTGGTTCTTTAGGCACTCAGGGCCCCTTTTTGGGGGGGATTTTGCGCCCCCCTGACCCCCCCAAAGTACAGTTTCAGCGCCAGCTTCCTGGAGATCTACAACGAGGCGCTGCGGGACCTGCTGGGGGGGGACAGGGGGGGCGAGCTGGAGATCCGCCACATCAGCTCGGCCAGCAAGGAGCTGCATGTCCCCAACCTGCGCTGCGTCCCCGTGGCCTCCGAGGACAAGGTAAGAAACCCAAAACCCCCCTCGGAGTCCGTTTGACGTATTTTTCCATTTTTTAACCCCAAATTTGCCCCCCCCCCCCCAGGTGCTGGGGCTGCTGCAGACGGCCGCCTCCAAGCGCTCGGTGGCGCGCACGGCGCTCAACGACCGCTCGTCCCGCAGCCACTGCGTCTTCCAGCTCCACATCCAGGGCTCCAACGCCTCCCGCGCCCTCCGCTGCAGCTGTGAGCGCCTCTTTTTGGGTTTTCTTCTTCCTCCCCGGGGGGTGCTGACCTCCTCTTCCTCACCCGAAATCCTCCCCCAACCCAGTGGTGCTGAGCCTGGTGGACCTGACGGGCAGCGAGCGCTTGGATAAATGCCAAGCCAGCGGGCAGCGGCTGCGCGAGACCCAAGCCATCAACAGCAGCCTGGCCACGCTGGGGCTGGTCATCATGGCCATCTCCAACAAGGTGCTGATTTTTTTGGGGAAAAAAGAGCGATTTTGGGGCCACGACCCCAAAATTTTGTCACTTTCCTCCCCATCCTATAACGATTTTTGTCCCCGTAGGAGCCGCACGTGCCATACCGCAACAGCAAGCTGACCTACCTGCTGCAAAACTCGCTGAGGGGCAACACCAAAATGTGAGCGGGGTTTTTTTTTAGGGTCACGGGGTGGTTTTAGGGTCGAGGGTGTAGGGTGCACCCCGCTCGGACAACCCCGCTATGCCGTGGATCGCCCCCACCCAGGCTCATGTTCGTCAACATCTCGCCGCTGGAGGAGAACTTCGCCGAGTTGCTCAACTCCCTGCGCTTTGCCAGCAAGGTTTGGGGGGAAATAATGGGGGTTTAGGGGAGGGTTTGGATTGTGGTGGGGGTGGGGAAGGGTTTTGGGGTGGTTTTTGGGGATGGTTTTGGAGGGAGGGAGCAGGGAGGGCTTGGGGAGGAGGGTTGAGGTTGGGGAGGAGGGTTTTGGGGTGGTTTGGGGGGAAGAATTTTGGGGGGGGGGTTAAACATTATGGTATGGGGGGCGTTTGGGGTGGATTTGGGGATCTTTGGGACACGGTGATTTGGGGTGCCGTGGGAAATCTGCGGGCAGAGGTTGGGGGAGATGTGGGATGTGTTGGGGGTGCTCGGGGGGGAGAACGTGGGGATGGGTTCAGGGGCAGGTTTGGGATGGGGGGGTTGGTTTGGGGTGTTAGAGGGCAAATTTGGGGCACAGGGGGTGATTTCGTAGGGTTATGGGATAAGGAGGGGCAGGTAATGGGATATGGGGGGACAGGTTTGGGGGGTTATACGGTGAGTTTGGGGTACAGGGTATGGGTTTTGGATTTTGGACATGGGGGGGATTTGGGGGAGGTTATGGGGTGTGTTTGGGATATGGGGGTGTGATTCGGGAGGTTTTTGGGGGATTATAGGGCAGATTTGGGATATAAGGGGATGATTTAGTGGGGGTTATGGGATATGGGGGGAAGATTTGGGGTTTACAGGATAAGTTTTGGTTGGTTTATGGGGTAGGTTCGGGATGGTGTGATTTTGGGGTGGGTTTGGGGGGATTATAGGGCAGGTTTGGGATATGGGGGGTGATTTGGGGGGGGTTAGGGGGTGGGTTTGGGATATGGGGGCGTGAATGGGGGGATTTAGTGGGGATAAAGGGAAGATTTTGGGATATGGGGGACAGGTTTTTGGCGGTTATGAGGTAGGTTTGGGAGGGTTAGGGACAGGTTTTGGGGTATTATGGGATGGATTTGGGATGGGGGTGTGATTTTGGGGGGTTTTGGTGTGGGTTTTGGGGGGTGATGGGGCAAATTTAAGATATGGGGGTGAGTTGGGGGGTTATGGGTTATGGGGCAGCTTTTGGGGGGTTATGGGGTGGGTTTGGGGTAGATTTGGGATATGGGGGCCTTTTGGGGGGTTATGGGGCAGGTTTGGGATCCGGGGGGGCCTTTTGGGGTGGGTTTGGGTTGGATTTGGGTTAGTGGGGGGCCTTTTGGGGGCATTTTGGGGCAGTTTTAGGATACGGGGGTGCATTTGGGGGTGGTTATGGGGCAGATTTGGGGGTCTGGACCCCCCTCACCCCCCTCGTTCGCTTCGCAGGTGAACGAGTGCATGGTGGGCACGGCCCACGCCAACAAGAAGTAGCCCCAGGGACCACCGGGACCCCCCCCCCAAATTCCCCTCCCCCCCCCCCCGTTTGTGGTGGGGGGGGTGCAGGGGGTGTAGGCTGTCGCCTCTGGGGGTGGATGTCTGCGTGGGGTGTGTGCAGCTGTTCCTTTAGCCTGACCTTAATAAACATGTAAATAAGCAAAAACTCTTCTAATAATTAAAAGAAAAAAAAAAGCTGTCAATTTCCAGCTGCAATCAATTTTCTTCCTCTCCTGCCTGCACCAACCCTATGTGTGAAATTCCAATCTGCCCCAAAACACACGGTTTTGACCCCAAAAACGTTCCTTTTTGTCCCCAACGTTGGTTCTTCCACCCATGTCATGTTAGTTTCCAGTGCTACCCCCGAAACTCTGATTTATCTGTTAAAAATGGGGTTAAAATAACAATAAATCTCCCCAGTTTCATCTGCCTTGTCCAGATGGGCAGAGCAGGGAGCTCTATAGGGAAAAACTGTAGGGAAAACCTTCCCCAGAGCACGTTTCTGTCCTATACCCCTCTTGGCACCTATAGGGGAATATGAACAGCCTGCAGGGTCCCACATTCTGATGAGAAAAATCTCATCAAATAACAATAAATTAATGCTTTGGGACTTTTTTTTGCCAGTTAATTATAATCTGGGTACAACTGAACTCCCCAGGGGAGCATTTACGCAGTCCCACATGCAACTGGACCCTCCGTGTTCGCTCTTTCACTGCAAGCCTAAATACAGCGTTAGCCGGCATCGGAGACGACTGAAAAATCGGGCCCCAGAAAACGCATTCCGAGCCTCTTTCGCCAATACAAAAGTGCCCCAAAATGAAGGCTTTGGGTACAACTGAACTGCCCAGGGGAGCCTTTACGCAGCCCCACATGCAACTGGACCCTCCGTGTTCGCTCTTTCCGAGCAACCCGAAACAATGCCCTAGCCAGCATTGGAGATGTTTTAAAAAATCGGGCCCCAGAAAACGTGTTCCGAGCCCCTTTGGACCATCCAAAAGTGCCCCCAAAGGAAGGATGTGTGTGCTAGCCGCACTGGGGTCCGGGTCGGACCTCGGTCGGCTCCGCTATTTTGATGGCAGGACACGAGTGTCCCTCCACGGGCAGCGTGGGTCTGGCTTTCTGAACCCCTAGGCTCCATCCTGGGTGTCGTGTGTGCTCGCCGCACCGGGGTCCGGATCCCATTTCGGGCGCCTCGGGGAAGGAGATGCTACGAAACGGTTGTCCGGCCACAAGCGCTGTGGCTGCCAGCCGTGTCGAGAAGTGGAGGCTGTCGTTCACCGGCTCGGAGTTACGCAGTGCCGGGGACCGGGGATTCAGACAGTCCAGAGCGGCAGGCGTCCGGATGTGGACCCTGGGCTCCGGTCCTGGGCGATGTGTGTGCTAGCCGCGCCGGGGTCCGGGTTCTGTCTCGGGTGGCTCGAGGAAGGTGATCCCACGACACGGGTGACCGGCCACAAGTGGTGTGGGTGCCAGCCTTGCCGCGAAGCAGGAGGCTGTGGTCCGCTCACTCGGGAACTGTCCGTCCCCGAGACAGGGGTTCTGTCCAGTCCGGAGCGGCGGCCGTTCTTCCCGAATGCCTAGACTCTGGTCCTGGGAGACGTGTATGCTAGCCACGCCGGGGTAAGAATCCCTTCTCGGGCGGATTAGGGACAACGATCCCACGACACGGTTGTCCGGCCACGAGCGGCATGGGAGCCAGACTTGCAGCGAAGCGTGAGGCTGTCATCCGCTGCCTCGTGGGCTGGCAGTCGCGGGGACCTGGGGTTCTGTCCTGTCCGGAGCGGCAGCTGTCCATCCCGAACACCCACGCTCCTATCCTGAGCAACATGTGTGCTAGCCGCACTGGGGTCCGGGTCAGACTTCGGTCGGCTCCGCTATGGCGATGGCAGGACACGAGTGTCCCTCCGCGGGCAGCGTGTGTCCGGCTTTCCGAACCCCTAGGCTCAATCCTGGGTGACGTGTGTGCTAGCCGCACCGCGGTCCGGATCCCATTTCTGGCGGACAGGGGACAACGATCCCATGACACGGTTGTCCGGCCATGAGCGGCATGGGAGCCAGACTTGCAGCGAAGTGTGAGGCTGTCATCTGCTGCCTCGTGGGCTGGCAGTCGTGGGGACCTGGGGTTCTGTCCTCTCCGGAGCCGCAGCTGTCTGTTCCCAACACCCACGCTCCAGTCCTGGGCGATGTATATGCTGGCCGCACTAGGTCCAGGTTGGACCTCGGTCGGCTCCGCTATTTCATCACAGGACACGAGTGTCCCTCCACGGGCAGCGTGGATCCAGCTTACTGAGCCCTTTGGCTCCATCCTGGGTGTCGTGTGTGCTCGCCGCACCGGGGTCCGGATCCCATTTCGGGCGCCTCGGGGAAGGAGATGCTACGAAACGGTTGTCCGGCCACAAGCGGTGTGACTGCCAGCCGTGTCAAGACGTGGAGGCTGTCATTCACTGGCTCGGAGTTACGCAGTCCCGGGGACCGGGGATTCAGACAGTCCAGAGTGGCAGGCGTCCGTATGTGGACCCTGGGCTCCGGTCCTGGGCGACGTGTGTGCTAGCTGCACTGGGGACCGGGTTCAGTCTTGGGTCCTTTGGCTCCATCCCGGGTGTCGTGTGTGCTCGCCGCACTGGGGTCAGGATCCTATTTCGGGCGCCTCAGAGAAGGAGATCCCACAACATTCCCACGAGGGTTAGGGTTGTTAGGGTTAGGGTTTAGGGTTAGGGTAAGGGTTAGGGTTAGGGTTAGGGTTAGGGTTAGGGTTAGGATTAGGGTTAGGATTAGGGTTAGGATTAGGGTTAGGGTTAGGGTTGGGGTTAGGGTTAGGGTTAGGGTTAGCGTTAGGGTTAGGGTTAGGGTTAGGGGGTTAGGGTTAGGGTTAGGGTTAGGGTTAGGGTTAGGGTTAGGGTTAGGGTTAGGGTTAGGGTTAGGGTTAGGGTTAGGGTTTTGGTTTAGGGTTAGGGTTCGTTAGGGTTAGGGCTAGGGTTATCGTTAGGGGGTTAGGGGTAGTGTTAGGGGGGTAGGGTTAGGGTTAGGGGTTAGGGTTAGGGGTAGTGTTAGGGTTTGGGGTTAGGGTTTGGGTTAGGGTTAGGGTTATGGTCAGGGCGTTAGGTTTAGGGTTAGGGTTAAGTTTAGCGTTAGGGTTAGGGATAGGGTTAGGCTTAGGGTTCATTAGGGTTAGGGTTAGGGCTTAGGGTTATCGTTAGGGGGTTAGGGTTCGGGATCGAGGTTAGGGTTAGGTTTAGGTTTAGGGTTAGGCGGGTTAGGATTAGGGTTAGGGTTCGGGTTAGGGCTCGGTTTAGGGTTAGGGTTTTGGGTTAGTGTTAGGGTTTGTTAGGGTTAGGGCTAGGGTTATGGTTAGGGGGTTAGGGTTAGGGTTAGGGGGTTAGGTTTATGGTTAGGGGTTAGGGTTAGGGGTAGGGTTAGGGTTAGGGTTAGGTTTTGGGTTAGTGTTAGTGTTAGGGTTAGAGGGTTAGGCTTAGGGTTAGGGGTAGGGTTAGGGTTAGGGTTAGGGTCAGGGTCAGAGTCAGAGTCAGGGTAAGCGTAGTGAGATCCTCTCCTGCGCCTATGTTATTTTCCAAAGATTGATTCACGCTTTTAAGGTTTCAGGGGTAGGGCACTAGGGTTGGGTTTCAGGGTAAGTATTCTCAGGGTTTATGTTTAGGATTTTCAGTTGTTTAGGTTTGGATTTTTAAGGGTTAGTATTTTAGGGATTTGGGGGTTAAGGTTTTAAGTTTTTCAGGGTTAGTGTGTTAGGGTTTTAGAGTTTATGGGTTGTAGTGTTGAAAGGTTTTTTAGGGTTAGGGTCTTAGGGTTTTCTTTTTGGTCAATTATTTAGGGTTAGGGTTTTAAAATTTATTTTTATTTATTTATTTATTTATTTATTTATTTATTTTTTCAGGTTAGGTTCTCCAGGGTTAGGGTTTTGAGTGTCCTAATTTTTTGGGTTAGGGTTTGGAGCATCTTAATTTTTTGCGTTAGGGTTTTGAGCATCTTAATATTTTGTGTTAGTGCTTTGAGCGTCTTATTTTTTTGGATTAGTGTTTGTGGAGGAATCGTTAAGTGAGGCAGGACATGTGAATGTTGAGCAGTTGGGAGACAATGGGCTGGTGAAGCACAGTACTCAACTCACATGAGCCTTGGCACGTATTCAGCTGGCTGAGAGCCAATCAGGCTCAAGGGCACGATGCCCTTGGGCCATCGGGGAAAGTCCCTAAGGTGGGACAGGTAGCCAAAAGAAGGAGGACCAGACTGAAAAGCCCTGGGAAGTGTCAGCCAGTCCTGAGCTTAGTTTCTGCAATATGTATGAGTTGATTATGTTCGAACTAGATAAAAGACGACTGAGCTATCCATTAAAGTTGAAGTTCACTGTTCACTCATATTGATGTGCTGGGTCTTCCTTCCGTCGGCAACAAATTGGCGCCCGAACAGGGACCGGTCTGAACGGGATTTGGACACTGCTGGCAGTGATCCAGGGCCACGGTTGGACGGAATAAGGGAAGCCGGTCGTGCAACGCAGCCCAGGAGGTGGAAAGGACAAGAATCCCCGCACCCACGCCGGGAAGGTGAAAAGGACGTGGAGTCCCCGCACCCGGGATGAGCCTATTTAGGGTCCCGCCGGAAAAGCGCCGCCGAGGTGTTTGCAAATGCTGCAACCGACGTATATAAAGGTATGAAAAGATAAGCGGCGTATTATTTGCTCAAATGCTTTTTAGAAAAGCGGAGCATTTTAGATATAGATTGTAGAAAAAGATTTGCCAGGGTTATTAGTATATGGGATAGCTAAGGGTTGTTTTACAAATCCTGATACAGTTTTTTGAACAAACAGAGTGGCGTAAATTTGGACATAAATTGTTTGATGATGTTAGGAACGATGTTAAGTTTACTGGGAGATTTGATGAGGCCATGGAGAGCAGTGGCTAATGCATTAGCCACACATAAAGATGAACAAAGAGTTGCCGCTGCTGCAACAGAGTGGTTAGGACCACCAAGAAGGATTAATAATGTTAATCCACAGCAAATAAATATGGAAGGAACAGATTGCCCGTTGCCACCTTCCGTTAGAACTTTTACTATTACACAGGGGGCCTCGGGAATTTCGGGGGTGCCTGTGACAATGTCCTCTGTAGCAGAGGAGGAGCTTTCACTACCAACAGCTCCAACTGCTCCAATAGAAAGTGAGAAAGGAGCAAGTGAAAGGACCAGTGCTAACTCATTTCTATCAAATATAAATCCCTTCACAACGGGGGCGCAGGGAAGAGAAGGTCTGCAGCCATCGAAGGCCTTTGCTGTTACGCCCCCTGTTGACCTGAACGTGCCTTTTGACCCAGGCCCTATTGGCCTTGGAAAGGAGCGATGGAGGCAAATAGCAAATGAGGCACTGCGTGAAGGGAATTATGAAACGGCAGCACAGTTAACACAAGCTTTTCCGGTAGTATACTCGCCAACAGATGCACAGGGGAATGTGACCGTTAATATGACAAATTTAGACTGGAAACTACTAACTCAATTACGATCTACAGTAAATGATTCTGGTTTAAAGGGGGAACCTACTCGGCAAATGTTAGATTATATTTGGGGAACTAATATATTGCTCCCCGGGGACATACGTGGTATAATGAAGCTGATCCTAACACAACATCAACAGCTTCTTTTTAATGCGCATTGGCAAAGTGTTTGTCAAGAGGCAGTAGCTGTGATAAGGGCACCTGGAGACCCTTTACATGGGGTCACACTGGAAGAGTTGATGGGGATAGGACTGTATTTTAGGACTGAAGCACAGGCATTGCTGGGAACGGCAGGGGTCTTCCACAGGCGGCAGCCTCCATCGGTGCAGGGCCACCTGCTCCACCGTGGTCTCCTCCACGGGCTGTAGCGTGAAACCCTGCTCCACCGTGGTACTCCATGGGCTGCAGGGGGACAGCCTGCTTCACCATGGGCCTCACCACAGGCCGCAGAGGGACTTCTGCTCCGGCGCCTGGAGCACCTCTCCCCCTCCTTCCTCACTGACCTTGGCACCTGCAAGGCTGTTTCTCACTCCCTTGACTCTCCCGGCTGCTGTGTGGCGCAGTGTTTTTTTCCCTGTCTTAAATATGCTCTCACAGAGGCGCAAAACAACATCGCTTATTGGCTCAGATCTGGAAAACAACGGGGCCCTTCCCAAACATGGGGCGGCTTCTAGATCTTTCTCACAGAAACCACCCCTATGGCCCCCTGCTACCAAAACCTTGCCACGTAAACCCACTACACCACCCCAAACGCCCCCATTTGCCCCTGAACTCCCCCCATTTCGCCTCCATTTCCCCCCCATAAGAGCCCTATTTCCCCCTAGTTTCCACGCCAAATGCCCCCGTTTACCCCTGAACTCCCCCCAATGACCCTTATTTTCCCCCAAAAGACCCCTTTTTCCCCCCATTTGCCCTATAAACCCCCCCCCGTCCCCCCCCAGTCGTCCCTGGACGGGTACCCCGTCTGCATCTTCGCCTACGGGCAGACGGGCAGCGGCAAAACCTACACCATGGAGGGGCCGGGGGGCGCCGACCCCGCAAGTTGGGGGGTGATCCCCTGCGCCGTGCCGCACCTCTTCGGGGGCGCCCGCCAGCTGGAGCACAAAGGGTGGCAGGTGGGGGCCGAGGCACCGAGTTTTGGGGGGGTTGGGGGCTTTTTTGGGAGGGGTTTAGGGCTATTTGGGGGCTTTTGGGGCTTTTTGGGGGGGAGTTAGGGCTTTCAGGAGCTTCTTTGGGGGGGGTTAAGGCTTTTTGGGGCTTCTTTGGGCGGCGCTTAGGGCTTTTGGGGGCTTCTTTGGGTGTGTTAGCTCTTTTGGGGGGGCCTTAGGGCTTCTGGGAGGCTTTTTTGAGGGGTTAGGCCTTTTTTGGGGGATTACGGCTTTTGAGATCTTTTTCTGGGGGGGATTAGGTCTTTTAGGGGCATTTTTGTATGGGGTTTTGAGCCTTTTGGGGGTTTAAGGTGTTTGGGGGGTGTTTAGGGCTTCTTGGGGTACTTTTCGGGGGGGTTAGGGCTTTTGGGGGGCTTTTAGGGGGATTAGGGCTTTCTGGAGGCTAATTTAGATCTTTTGGGGGCTTTTTTTTGGGGGGTTAGGGCTTTGGGGTCTTTTGGGGGCTTTTTGGGGGGAGGTTAGGGCTTTTGGGGGCTAATTTAGGGCTTTGGGGAGCTTTTTTTAGGGGTATTTGGTCTTTTAGGGGCTTTTTTGAGGGGGTTTTGAGCCTTTTGGGACTTTTGGGGGTTTAAGGTGTTTGGGGGGTTTAGGGCTTCTTGGGGTTCTTTTCTTTGGGGGGGTTATGGCTTTTGGGGGGCTTTTTGGGAGGGTTAGGGCTTTTTGGAGGCTAATATAGGGCTTTTGGAGCCTTCTTTAGGGGGGTTTAGGGCTTTTGGGGGCTTCTTTGGGGGGGGAGTTAGGGCTTTTGGAGGCTTTTTTGTGGCTTTTTTTGGAGGGTGTTAGGGATTTGGGGGGCTTTTGGGGGGGTTTAGGGCTTTGGGGGGCTTTTTTTGGGGGAGCAGGGCTTTTGGGGGGGTTTAGGGTGGGGTTTTGGGGGGAATTTCTTTAGCTTTGGGGACTTTGGGTCTGCTCTTTTGGGGGCTCTTTGGGGTTCTTTATAGGGTTTGGAGGCTTTTGGTGGTTCTTTAGGCACTCAGGGCCCCTTTTTGGGGGGATTTTGCGCCCCCCTGACCCCCCCAAAGTACAGTTTCAGCGCCAGCTTCCTGGAGATCTACAACGAGGCGCTGCGGGACCTGCTGGGGGGGGACAGGGGGGGCGAGCTGGAGATCCGCCACATCAGCTCGGCCAGCAAGGAGCTGCATGTCCCCAACCTGCGCTGCGTCCCCGTGGCCTCCGAGGACAAGGTAAGAAACCCAAAACCCCCCTCGGAGTCCGTTTGACGTATTTTTCCATTTTTTAACCCCAAATTTGCCCCCCCCCCCCAGGTGCTGGGGCTGCTGCAGACGGCCGCCTCCAAGCGCTCGGTGGCGCGCACGGCGCTCAACGACCGCTCGTCCCGCAGCCACTGCGTCTTCCAGCTCCACATCCAGGGCTCCAACGCCTCCCGCGCCCTCCGCTGCAGCTGTGAGCGCCTCTTTTTGGGGTTTTCTTCCTCCCCGGGGGGTGCTGACCTCCTCTTCCTCACCCGAAATCCTCCCCCAACCCAGTGGTGCTGAGCCTGGTGGACCTGACGGGCAGCGAGCGCTTGGATAAATGCCAAGCCAGCGGGCAGCGGCTGCGCGAGACCCAAGCCATCAACAGCAGCCTGGCCACGCTGGGGCTGGTCATCATGGCCATCTCCAACAAGGTGCTGATTTTTTGGGGAAAAAAGAGCGATTTTGGGGCCACGACCCCAAAATTTTGTCACTTTCCTCCCCATCCTATAACGATTTTTGTCCCCGTAGGAGCCGCACGTGCCATACCGCAACAGCAAGCTGACCTACCTGCTGCAAAACTCGCTGAGGGGCAACACCAAAATGTGAGCGGGTTTTTTTTAGGGTCACGGGGTGGTTTTAGGGTCGAGGGTGTAGGGTGCACCCCGCTCGGACACCCCGCTATGCCGTGGATCGCCCCCACCCAGGCTCATGTTCGTCAACATCTCGCCGCTGGAGGAGAACTTCGCCGAGTTGCTCAACTCCCTGCGCTTTGCCAGCAAGGTTTGGGGGAAATAATGGGGGTTTAGGGGAGGGTTTGGATTGTGGTGGGGGTGGGGAAGGGTTTTGGGGTGGTTTTTGGGGATGGTTTTGGAGGGAGGGAGCAGGGAGGGCTTGGGGAGGAGGGTTGAGGTTGGGGAGGAGGGTTTTGGGGTGGTTTGGGGGGAAGAATTTTGGGGGGGGGTAAACATTATGGTATGGGGGGCGTTTGGGGTGGATTTGGGGATCTTTGGGACACGGTGATTTGGGGTGCCGTGGGAAATCTGCGGGCAGAGGTTGGGGGAGATGTGGGATGTGTTGGGGGTGCTCGGGGGGGAGAACGTGGGGATGGGTTCAGGGGCAGGTTTGGGATGGGGGGGTTGGTTTGGGGTGTTAGAGGGCAAATTTGGGGCACAGGGGGTGATTTCGTAGGGTTATGGGATAAGGAGGGCAGGTAATGGGATATGGGGGACAGGTTTGGGGGGTTATACGGTGAGTTTGGGGTACAGGGTATGGGTTTTGGATTTTGGACATGGGGGGGATTTGGGGGAGGTTATGGGGTGTGTTTGGGATATGGGGGTGTGATTCGGGAGGTTTTGGGGGATTATAGGGCAGATTTGGGATATAAGGGGATGATTTAGTGGGGTTATGGGATATGGGGGGAAGATTTGGGGTTTACAGGATAAGTTTTGGTTGGTTTATGGGGTAGGTTCGGGATGGTGTGATTTTGGGGTGGGTTTGGGGGGATTATAGGGCAGGTTTGGGATATGGGGGGTGATTTGGGGGGGGTTAGGGGGTGGGTTTGGGATATGGGGGCGTGAATGGGGGGATTTAGTGGGGATAAAGGGAAGATTTTGGGATATGGGGGACAGGTTTTTGGCGGTTATGAGGTAGGTTTGGGAGGGTTAGGGACAGGTTTTGGGGTATTATGGGATGGATTTGGGATGGGGGTGTGATTTTGGGGGTTTTGGTGTGGGTTTTGGGGGGTGATGGGGCAAATTTAAGATATGGGGGTGAGTTGGGGGGGTTATGGGTTATGGGGCAGCTTTTGGGGGGTTATGGGGTGGGTTTGGGGTAGATTTGGGATATGGGGGCCTTTTGGGGGGGTTATGGGGCAGGTTTGGGATCCGGGGGGGCCTTTTGGGGTGGGTTTGGGTTGGATTTGGGTTAGTGGGGGGCCTTTTGGGGGCATTTTGGGGCAGTTTTAGGATACGGGGGTGCATTTGGGGGGGTTATGGGGCAGATTTGGGGGTCTGGACCCCCCTCACCCCCCTCGTTCGCTTCGCAGGTGAACGAGTGCATGGTGGGCACGGCCCACGCCAACAAGAAGTAGCCCCAGGACCACCGGGACCCCCCCCCCCAAATTCCCCTCCCCCCCCCCCGTTTGTGGTGGGGGGGGTGCAGGGGGTGTAGGCTGTCGCCTCTGGGGGTGGGATGTCTGCGTGGGGTGTGTGCAGCTGTTCCTTTTAGCCTGACCTTAATAAACATGTAAATAAGCAAAAACTCTTCTAATAATTAAAAGAAAAAAAAAAGCTGTCAATTTCCAGCTGCAATCAATTTTCTTCCTCTCCTGCCTGCACCAACCCTATGTGTGAAATTCCAATCTGCCCCAAAACACACGGTTTTGACCCCAAAAACGTTCCTTTTTGTCCCCAACGTTGGTTCTTCCACCCATGTCATGTTAGTTTCCAGTGCTACCCCCGAAACTCTGATTTATCTGTTAAAAATGGGGTTAAAATAACAATAAATCTCCCCAGTTTCATCTGCCTTGTCCAGATGGGCAGAGCAGGGAGCTCTATAGGGAAAAACTGTAGGGAAAACCTTCCCCAGAGCACGTTTCTGTCCTATACCCCTCTTGGCACCTATAGGGGAATATGAACAGCCTGCAGGGTCCCACATTCTGATGAGAAAAATCTCATCAAATAACAATAAATTAATGCTTTGGGACTTTTTTTTGCCAGTTAATTATAATCTGGGTACAACTGAACTCCCCAGGGGAGCATTTACGCAGTCCCACATGCAACTGGACCCTCCGTGTTCGCTCTTTCACTGCAAGCCTAAATACAGCGTTAGCCGGCATCGGAGACGACTGAAAAATCGGGGCCCCAGAAAACGCATTCCGAGCCTCTTTCGCCAATACAAAAGTGCCCCAAAATGAAGGCTTTGGGTACAACTGAACTGCCCAGGGGAGCCTTTACGCAGCCCCACATGCAACTGGACCCTCCGTGTTCGCTCTTTCCGAGCAACCCGAAACAATGCCCTAGCCAGCATTGGAGATGTTTTAAAAAATCGGGCCCCAGAAAACGTGTTCCGAGCCCCTTTGGACCATCCAAAAGTGCCCCCAAAGGAAGGATGTGTGTGCTAGCCGCACTGGGGTCCGGGTCGGACCTCGGTCGGCTCCGCTATTTTGATGGCAGGACACGAGTGTCCCTCCACGGGCAGCGTGGGTCTGGCTTTCTGAACCCCTAGGCTCCATCCTGGGTGTCGTGTGTGCTAGCCGCACCGGGGTCCGGATCCCATTTCGGGCGCCTCGGGGAAGGAGATGCTACGAAATGGTTGTCCGGCCACAAGCGCTGTGGCTGCCAGCCGTGTCGAGAAGTGGAGGCTGTTCGTTCACCGGCTCGGAGTTACGCAGTGCCGGGGACCGGGGATTCAGACAGTCCAGAGCGGCAGGCGTCCGGATGTGGACCCTGGGCTCCGGTCCTGGGCGATGTGTGTGCTAGCCGCGCCGGGGTCCGGGTTCTGTCTCGGGTGGCTCGAGGAAGGTGATCCCACGACACGGGTGACCGGCCACAAGTGGTGTGGGTGCCAGCCTTGCCGCGAAGCAGGAGGCTGTGGTCCGCTCACTCGGGAACTGTCCGTCCCCGAGACAGGGGTTCTGTCCAGTCCGGAGCGGCGGCCGTTCTTCCCGAATGCCTAGACTCTGGTCCTGGGAGACGTGTATGCTAGCCACGCCGGGGTAAGAATCCCTTCTCGGGCGGATTAGGGACAACGATCCCACGACACGGTTGTCCGGCCACGAGCGGCATGGGAGCCAGACTTGCAGCGAAGCGTGAGGCTGTCATCCGCTGCCTCGTGGGCTGGCAGTCGCGGGGACCTGGGGTTCTGTCCTGTCCGGAGCGGCAGCTGTCCATCCCGAACACCCACGCTCCTATCCTGAGCAACATGTGTGCTAGCCGCACTGGGGTCCGGGTCAGACTTCGGTCGGCTCCGCTATGGCGATGGCAGGACACGAGTGTCCCTCCGCGGGCAGCGTGTGTCCGGCTTTCCGAACCCCTAGGCTCAATCCTGGGTGACGTGTGTGCTAGCCGCACCGCGGTCCGGATCCCATTTCTGGCGGACAGGGGACAACGATCCCATGACACGGTTGTCCGGCCATGAGCGGCATGGGAGCCAGACTTGCAGCGAAGTGTGAGGCTGTCATCTGCTGCCTCGTGGGCTGGCAGTCGTGGGGACCTGGGGTTCTGTCCTCTCCGGAGCCGCAGCTGTCTGTTCCCAACACCCACGCTCCAGTCCTGGGCGATGTATATGCTGGCCGCACTAGGTCCAGGTTGGACCTCGGTCGGCTCCGCTATTTCATCACAGGACACGAGTGTCCCTCCACGGGCAGCGTGGATCCAGCTTACTGAGCCCTTTGGCTCCATCCTGGGTGTCGTGTGTGCTCGCCGCACCGGGGTCCGGATCCCATTTCGGGCGCCTCGGGGAAGGAGATGCTACGAAACGGTTGTCCGGCCACAAGCGGTGTGACTGCCAGCCGTGTCAAGACGTGGAGGCTGTCATTCACTGGCTCGGAGTTACGCAGTCCCGGGGACCGGGGATTCAGACAGTCCAGAGTGGCAGGCGTCCGTATGTGGACCCTGGGCTCCGGTCCTGGGCGACGTGTGTGCTAGCTGCACTGGGGACCGGGTTCAGTCTTGGGTCCTTTGGCTCCATCCCGGGTGTCGTGTGTGCTCGCCGCACTGGGGTCAGGATCCTATTTCGGGCGCCTCAGAGAAGGAGATCCCACAACATTCCCACGAGGGTTAGGGTTGTTAGGGTTAGGGTTTAGGGTTAGGGTAAGGGTTAGGGTTAGGGTTAGGATTAGGGTTAGGATTAGGGTTAGGATTAGGGTTAGGGTTAGGGTTGGGGTTAGGGTTAGGGTTAGGGTTAGCGTTAGGGTTAGGGTTAGGGTTAGGGGGTTAGGGTTAGGGTTAGGGTTAGGGTTAGGGTTAGGGTTAGGGTTAGGGTTAGGGTTAGGGTTAGGGTTTTGGTTTAGGGTTAGGGTTCGTTAGGGTTAGGGCTAGGGTTATCGTTAGGGGGTTAGGGGTAGTGTTAGGGGGGTAGGGTTAGGGTTAGGGGTTAGGGTTAGGGGTAGTGTTAGGGTTTGGGGTTAGGGTTTGGGTTAGGGTTAGGGTTATGGTCAGGGCGTTAGGTTTAGGGTTAGGGTTAAGTTTAGCGTTAGGGTTAGGGATAGGGTTAGGCTTAGGGTTCATTAGGGTTAGGGTTAGGGCTTAGGGTTATCGTTAGGGGGTTAGGGTTCGGGATCGAGGTTAGGGTTAGGTTTAGGTTTAGGGTTAGGCGGGTTAGGGTTAGGGTTAGGGTTCGGGTTAGGGCTCGGTTTAGGGTTAGGGTTTTGGGTTAGTGTTAGGGTTTGTTAGGGTTAGGGCTAGGGTTATGGTTAGGGGGTTAGGGTTAGGGTTAGGGGGTTAGGTTTATGGTTAGGGGTTAGGGTTAGGGGTAGGGTTAGGGTTAGGGTTAGGTTTTGGGTTAGTGTTAGTGTTAGGGTTAGAGGGTTAGGCTTAGGGTTAGGGGTAGGGTTAGGGTTAGGGTCAGGGTCAGAGTCAGAGTCAGGGTAAGCGTAGTGAGATCCTCTCCTGAGCCTATGTTATTTTCCAAAGATTGATTCACGCTTTTAAGGTTTCAGGGGTAGGGCACTAGGGTTGGGTTTCAGGGTAAGTATTCTCAGGGTTTATGTTTAGGATTTTCAGTTGTTTAGGTTTGGATTTTTAAGGGTTAGTATTTTAGGGATTTGGGGGTTAAGGTTTTAAGTTTTTCAGGGTTAGTGTGTTAGGGTTTTAGAGTTTATGGGTTGTAGTGTTGAAAGGTTTTTTAGGGTTAGGGTCTTAGGGTTTTCTTTTTGGTCAATTATTTAGGGTTAGGGTTTTAAAATTTATTTTTATTTATTTATTTATTTATTTATTTATTTATTTTTTCAGGTTAGGTTCTCCAGGGTTAGGGTTTTGAGTGTCCTAATTTTTTGGGTTAGGGTTTGGAGCATCTTAATTTTTTGCGTTAGGGTTTTGAGCATCTTAATATTTTGTGTTAGTGCTTTGAGCATCTTATTTTTTTGGATTAGTGTTTGTGGAGGAATCGTTAAGTGAGGCAGGACATGTGAATGTTGAGCAGTTGGGAGACAATGGGCTGGTGAAGCACCGTACTCAACTCACATGAGCCTTGGCACGTATTCAGCTGGCTGAGAGCCAATCAGGCTCAAGGGCACGATGCCCTTGGGCCATCGGGGAAAGTCCCTAAGGTGGGACAGGTAGCCAAAAGAAGGAGGACCAGACTGAAAAGCCCGGGAAGTGTCAGCCAGTCCTGAGCTTAGTTTCTGCAATATGTATGAGTTGATTATGTTCGAACTAGATAAAAGACGACTGAGCTATCCATTAAAGTTGAAGTTCACTGTTCACTCATATTGATGTGCTGGGTCTTCCTTCCGTCGGCAACAAATTGGCGCCCGAACAGGGACCGGTCTGAACGGGATTTGGACACTGCTGGCAGTGATCCAGGGCCACGGTTGGACGGAATAAGGGAAGCCGGTCGTGCAACGCAGCCCAGGAGGTGAAAAGGACAAGAATCCCCGCACCCACGCCGGGAAGGTGAAAAGGACGTGGAGTCCCCGCACCCGGGATGAACCTATTTAGGGTCCCGCCGGAAAAGCGCCGCCGAGGTGTTTGCAAAGGCTGCAACCGACGTATATAAAGGTATGAAAAGATAAGCGGCGTATTATTTGCTCAAATGCTTTTTAGAAAAGCGGAGCATTTTGGATATAGATTGTAGAAAAAGATTTGCCAGGGTTATTAGTATATGGGATAGCTAAGGGTTGTTTTACAAATCCTGATACAGTTTTTTGAACAAACAGAGTGGCGTAAATTTGGACATAAATTGTTTGATGATGTTAGGAACGATGTTAAGTTTACTGGGAGATTTGATGAGGCCATGGAGAGCAGTGGCTAATGCATTAGCCACACATAAAGATGAACAAAGAGTTGCCACTGCTGCAACAGAGTGGTTAGGACCACCAAGTAGGGTTAGTAATGTTAATCCACAGCAAATAAATATGGAAGGAACAGATTGCCCGTTGCCACCTTCCGTTAGAACTTTTACTATTACACAGGGGGCCTCGGGAATTTCGGGGGTGCCTGTGACAATGTCCTCTGTAGCAGAGGAGGAGCTTTCACTACCAACAGCTCCAACTGCTCCAATAGAAAGTGAGAAAGGAGCAAGTGAAAGGACCAGTGCTAACTCATTTCTATCAAATATAAATCCCTTCACAACGGG